AGCTACTTCATTAGCTCATTTGATATATCCTCCTCTAGCTATCAAAACAATGAGCTGTTGAGGAATAACTAATTTCTCACTTTGAACCTATATTACATCCTTTAAGGTTATGACAAATTAAATCGAGATGCTCTTACTCATTTTAACTTAGTGGGTCATTAGTCGGATATGTGTCTTATTAACGCTAGGTTGGTTTATAATAAAAAGATGGATATAGGCCTTTTTGTATCCATTTATCAACCATCACTTTTAATGATGTCTGAAGCATGGACTAACAGTAATATTTCCGACGTAGGTATATCTCCTGATAACTATTTCCGATACCAAAGTGACGGGTTGAAATGGCGAGGCGGAGGATACATTATTTACACTTATTCTAGCTTAAACTCAGTATCATATGGTATGGCTGAACTGAAAAAACTGCAGGGTTCGGTTTGAATTGTTTTAAAGCTGTCGAATTCCATTTTCTAACTGTTTCTTTGTGTCTACCGTCAACCCAACGCATCAAAATGTGAAATAGAAATTTTATCAGAGGTATTCACACTAGCATCATCTCTTCCATTCACAGGTAAATTTATTCGTGGTGAATTCAACATATCCGAAATTTCTTGTATTCCAGTCAAGGCTCAGAAACGTTAGGAATCCTTTATTGAATATCTAGAGCTTACACAGCGGGCTCAGTATGTCAGCAGCCCTACTAGACGTCAAAATATAATGTACTTGGTCTTTACCAGTTGCTTTACCCCCAATACTGTGTATATCGGAAAAACGTTTCCAGGTAGCGAACACAACATTGTTATATGTAGCTTTAATCTAAAAACCACAACCGGTAGACGTAAAACTGTAACACTTCGTAGAAACTATCGCGAGGTCGATTGGTAAAGCTTCCAAAACTACTTAAAAATTACTGATTGAGGAACCTTCTTTACTGTATACAATATTGGGGTCCTAAGCCTCTTACTGAGCTGTTTATTGAATACTTATGTCTTTCATCAACCGATAAAAAATCACCGAATGAATCAGAACGAATCCCAGTGCCTTCCTGTGGAGTTACCATTGTAGACTTCAATGTACGGAATATTTTTAAAGCGATTAGCACACTAAAGCACTTGTACACTGACGGATCAGATGGTATTCCGGCTAGCATGCTATAAAGTGGGGTGATGATCTGTGTGTTTTACTTCTCGAGCTATTTGCGATATCACTCTCTACAGTGTGCTACCTTACTGTTTGGAAAACTACACATATCATTCCAAAATTAAGACAGTGCCTGAAAATTGCCGGCCCATAATCATAACCTCAATGGTATCTAGAGTGATGGAAAAAGTGATAAAGGCGGTGGTAGTTCATTATTAACCTACTAATAACATTATCTCGGCCTCCTAGTATGGGTTTCTTAGGTCCAGATCGTGTGATACATGCCTAGTAGACTATCTGAATAATATAACTCTGAAATGAAACAACGGACTCGTTGTATCAGTCTTATTCTCAGACTTCAAGAAAGCTTCTGATAAGGTCCAACACAAAAGGCGTCTCATCAAATTAAAGTCATTCGGAACCAACAACAGACTATATTGATGGTTTGCTCCATTCTTAACAGGGAGTAAACAAATGTTAAGGTGCAATAACTCTCTCTCTCATCACCTAGTCCGATAACTAGTGGAGTCATCCAGGTAATTGTATCGGGTCCACTCTTGTTTCGTATGTACATAAACGATATAAGTAACACCATAAAATTTGGGAGACCATACTTATACGCCGATTATCTCAAAATAGTATACAGTTTTAAGCCTGAAGCTCCAAATGAAAATGTATCACAAATTCAAAGTGACCTCAACAAACAGAATATTTGGAGCGAAAAATGGTAATTACCATTTAACCGCAATAAGTGTGAAATCATGCATTCTGGAAAACATCCCTATGGACCACAACTTTAGTTGAATGAAACTAGAGCTCATACACTCAAATCCGTGCACGAACTATGTATTGATCACACGGAAAGCCTAAAATTAGAAGAATGTTCCTCCTTTATTGTTTCTAAATCTAGACGGCTAATTGGTTTCAAAATTAAAAGTTTCTTCACAACAGAGGCTACGCATACACTTTACAGGATATGTGTACAATCCTCCCTTGAATACTGCTCTTTTGTCTTCTCAACATTGAATATCACAGACAAGATACGAGTAAAGATATCCAAGGACACTTCACACACCAACTGCTAGAATGTGGCTCCACTCTCGTCTACACAGATAGTTTTAAGCACCTCTGCTTAGCACGTTTACGGCACCATCGACTGGGGAACAATCTAATGTTTCTCTATAAAGTAATGTATGGACTCTCATTTCTAACCTCCTGCCCAACCATGATCCGCTACCCAGTCTACAGACCCAGAAACAACGCATATACACTACTTACAGTAAAACACCAAAACCCGATGCGTTGTCATTATTTGACGGTGTGGTCTAGTTTATTATCGAACGGGTTGTGAATAATTATCTGTAGCTGTGACACTATCAATAGGTTCAAAATGCCCTGGTACTAAACTCTAATCAGCTTTATCAACTATTCCGTGAACTCACAGTCACCAATGAGATATTGTATTATGGACCGCCTAATATCTGGAACGATCATTAATATAACGGACTTCATTGTCATAAATATGAATATAGAAAGTGATATAATAAATGGCTTACTTTCTTCCACTATTTATTGATTATTAACCATACCCTTATGCTCCTACTTCTCATATTCAGATTCCGAATCTCTCTAATGGTTAGAGTAGGATTATTCTTTCTAAGTGTCATTTTTTTATATTACAATTAGACAGATTACGCATTAATCTTACGGATGCTGATCAACTGTGGCCGATCATAGGAAGCCCATGATGACCTAAGTTCTTGTTAATCGCCCGATATTTTGTTTTCTAACTCTGAAAACTTACACTTCTAAACCTTTTCATAATATTTGACATGCTATCTGCTTTGCTTCTCGTCTTTTCCTTAACCTCTCTTTCAGCACTCACAAGATATGCCACCGAAAATACATATGGAACGGGTGACTTCGTCCCGCGCCACCATTAATCCCTCGAATGTTCCAGAGGGGTATAACGTTGCGGTTTCTAAGAGCTCTCAGTTTCAAGTGGATTTGTAGACACCCTTAACCGATCAAAGTTAGACAATCACAGGAAAACTGAAGGCACTGGACGGCCAGTTCGTTCTGGTGTGTAACTACCTATCGATGCCCTCCAACTAACCTGCGAATTACGTAATAATCAATGATACTGACAAATTAAAAATGAGGCTATTTTCTGATGATTGGTCAAATTAACTATGTCATACAGGAGTAGTCAGTATTGTGGGTATAAAAAATGAACACATTATACAGTAGTACAAGGAATCTAGGAACAGCAATAAAATAGTTGGGTCATCAATAGGTGGCAATATGGAAGCCACGGGTAGAGGGTTTCTCTTACACAAGCTCATATATACATACTAATGGATTCTGCAATAGTCTTTGAAAATTAAACATCAAACGATATCAAGATGTAAGCTTGGTGAATAGTTTTTTATTCGATTAACGTATGGGGCCTGTAAAATATCACTGGAGCGTACCCAAATCATCCGACCGGTAAGGCGCTGAATGTTGAACAGTTTACTGATCCCCGTCAATTTTAAAGACAACCAGCGTACATCATTATATTAGATGTCACGGATAGACACATAAGGCGGCGGTTTCATCTCGTATTTGCTTATTATGGTAAAAGTGATATATGCTGTTGTCATCTGAGAGTATGTATTTGAACCGGCTAGTTAAGAAGTCTATTCACCTGATTATCCTAACAGCACAATCCAGGTTAAGTGTTAAGCTAGAGGTGTCATTTGGATGCAAGCTAGGATGTCACACCATTGTCATGCAACTCGAGTAGATTACGGCCATCCGGATAGATCTTATAAATTTGCTTTTTACACTCTTTCGATTGAACGACTCACATTCAGATCGAGACAAGATGTACTTAGATAATATCAAACTTACGCAATAAATTACTACAATCTAAGTTAGAGTAGGAGTGATAGAGTATGTCTTACAACAATGGAAGTTTAACTACATTGTTGCATTTTAGAGGTGTGTGACTAAGTCTTGGAATTCCGAACTCCTCAGAAGTCCTTTGTGAGGAAACCTGATATAGTCTTAAGGATTCAGAACAACAGCTCGTTATAAAATATCAAATATATGTATTTCTGCTTGTCTCATATATCTAAGTTTTGCTTGAAAGGGTTGGTGATTCATTTTTATAGTACAAGGAAGCTCTCTAAGCGATGGAATTAAAAGTTAATCTGGAGCGGTTCGCATCTATCCAAAGGGTACTTTGTGTATAAAAAGAGGATACAGAGTGGTGTGAAGAGGTTAGAAAAGAGAAGAACAAAGGGAAAGGAGAACGAATGACCTCGTGAGTGTACACAATCCACCTAAATTTACCTCCGAAAGCAATAAGCAACAATAGGCAATTAGACAAGCCTCAGATTAAGGTGAAGATGGCACAGGTATTCATTGCTTGACAACGCTTTTACCAGTAGCACCTTCTAATATAACGCGTACCCACCAAGAGAAATCAAAAGACAGAACCGAGGAGATCGGAATTGTCTGCTCTAATCTGGCTAGCGATTGCAGTGGATGTTGAGCACGGCCTTCCCACACGTGATCTTGTGCGGATGCATGACCGAGCGCCTTCAGCTGGGTGAGTCCACTAAAACATGTGGTCAGCATCTAATGTCGAAAACATACAGAGCTATTTATTTTGGGAATTTATTTACCGCTACAACGGCAATTTTGAGATCGAAAACAGGAGATTGTTAAATCGACTACAAAGTCATCATTTCAAAATACATGCAGCCCATATAAGTTTAAATGTTTTTCGTTGTCGTTAATAATGAAGCGAACATGTATTTAAAATTCCAATTTGAGTTGTTTGTGAATTTTGTTTAGCTACACCATTTTGCATTCGTTTACTCACCAATTCAAAACCCGCGTTATCGACTGGCTTAGTTAGTATCTAACTAGTTTACAAGTTAGTTTGATGTTGCAACATTGTTTTGTTTATTTTAGATTTCCATGTGTTTATTTATAAATCCAACAGAGTGTTCATGCAAATTTCGTGTATGGCACGCAATAAGATAGCACTTGAGCTCAATACTATGAATAGTGTCGGCTTTATTGATACTAGTATCAATACTAGTATCACTCAACGAGCTCGTTTAGTGTTGTAATAAAGAATAGCTTAAGTTAATCCAAAATTTCAACGAAGAATGCCTTGATCATGAAGAAGGTAGAGGGGATTCTCAATATTTCTATTAGTTCAGACTTATCATCAAACCACAGATCATCGGAGGTTCTGACTAAAACTTTTACTTAATTCAGATCCATCCCAAAATGTTGATTTCGTTACTTTGGAAGACCAGATCATGCATGTTTAGGAACTCGACCTAATCATCGTTCTGTTCAATACAGCCAGTATGGTTGTATCATTCCTGAAACTTGTTCTCACTTTTAGGTCCTCGTGGTTGTGAAATTTTCATATCCTAGATTTCATTTATAAGGTCAATGAAATATTAGTGAGCCCCGACTAGATTGTCTATCAAGCTGAACTGTTCCAGCGTTAGACAACTGTCATATATTAAATTTCTGATTGTCGTTGTTAAAATTAACACCTTTGTTTATAGCCACTAGGATCTTCAATCAAGTTCTTGTATTACGTCATGACATGGGTCAATCTTCCTAGTGAGTAACTTTGTTTGGATCCGATTTTTTGAAGGCAGTTACTGAGCTGACCGATACTGCTTGTTTTGGTAAGAGATTCCACTTATCAACCAATAAATTGGAAAATCAGAACTATATAATTGGTTAATATGGTTTCAGTAGGACAATTTAAGTCTACATATTTTCTTTTCTAAAGGAGTTTTGCATTACAAACATTCATTCTACAGTACAAAATCACTGCCCTTTTGTTTGCAAACTAAAACTTGGTATCCTATTGGTAGCGAAATGCTCCTTTTTCACTTGAAGTTGTTTTGGCGAGACTCTAATTCAGGGACGACCTTTGAACGAATCGTCAATGACCTTGACAATTGTTAGCCAACCAGAATACAGTTAGTATAAGGTGAAAATATATTATATGAAAGTAATGAATTACAGTGGATATTCTACTTTCACATGATTCAAAAACTTGTTAAGGTTTGATAAAGGTTCAGAAGTTCTGAATTCATAATGCATATGGTATAGAGGCTCGTCCATAGGGCTAGGGTTAGGTTTAGGGTTAAGGTTTGGGTTAGGTTAGGGTTTAGGGTTAAGGTTAGGGTTAGGATGGTAACATGCGATCGGGTTACGACGGATTTTAGAGGAGAGGTGTCTATTGAGAGGCTACAACCCTTACCCTTACCCTAACCCTAACCCTTGGCTACGACACTAACACCTAACCCTTAACCCTAACCATATGGATGAGTTTCTATACCGTATGCATTATGAATTCAGAACTTCTGAACCTTAATCAAACCTTAACAAGTTTTTAAATCATGTAGAAGAAGAACATCCACTGTAATTCATTACTTTCTTATAATATATTTTTACTTCATACTGTCTTCTGATTGGCTAATAATTGAAATTGATCAAACGCTTCTGATTGGCTCGTCCCTAAATTTGAGTCTCGCCGTTGTTTTTATCAGAGTATACTTTTCTCCGATTTTCGTTTAATTGAACTTAATTACTCACTATTTTACTTTCGTTTCTAATTGTCCGACGATAAATGTAGCGTTTTATTCACTGCGCTTTCGTCATATTAGCAATGTGTGATGACTCTTGGATTAATGAATCTAATATCAAGGATAGAGATTCTCTGATTACGTTGGCTAAGATTCAGGAGCAAGCTGAGCGATTTAATGATATGGCGTGTGCTATGAAGAAAGTTGTCGAGACATCAAAAACACTGAATAATGAGGAGCGAAACTTGTTTTCAGTGGCTTATAAAAATGTAGTTGGATGTTGTAGATCAGCTTGGCGTGTTGTTTCAAACATTGAACAGCGATTGGATGACCAGAAGAAAAAACAAGCGGGAGAATACCGTAAAACTATTGAGAAGGAATTACAAGCTGTCTGCCAGGAAGTCTTAGTAAGATTTCTAAGTCTTCCTGACCACATTTCCTTATTAGGATTTATTACACGAGTCACTACTCAAAAGTGAAAATACAGCTGAAGGAATCGTGTTTTATAAGAAAATGGAAGGTGATTATTACAGGTATTTAGCTGAGGTTCTAACTGACGATAAACGTGCTGATGTCGTAAAACACTCAAGGGAAGCTTATCAGGCAGCAACGGAGAAGGCAAATAGTGACCTACCTCCAACTCATCCAATCCGTCTGGGCTTAGCTCTAAACTTCTCTGTGTTTTATTATGAAATCGAAAACAACCCCGAAAAAGCATGCTCAATTGCTCAGACTGCATTTAATGAATCAATCGGACAGTTGGACCAACCTGAAAGTGGTTCCTTCAAAGATAGTACACTTGTAATGCAACTTCTTCGTGATAACTTAACTGTAAGTTGCTAATTTACAATAACAAAACTTTTTCAGTTATGGACTTCTGAACGTGAAGCTGCTCAGTAACACAGAATATCAGTGGCCACTTTATGTTTACTTTGAAAACGTAACCTCAGAAATTTTCTTTACACTCACTTTATAACGTATGTTCGAATTTATTGGTCACTTCTAATTTAGTCTCTTGAATAAATCATGTGGCAATTCTCGTCATTATATCATATGGTATACCAATTTTAATTAATATTTGTGTAAAATCCAGCTGTAAGACCATTATTGCTAGTGTTGATGTCTGTTCGTTCAACTAAGATGAATAGCTGCTTTGTCAAATAAATTGCAAATTCACTGAGTCTATATTTCACTTGGTTCATATACGTTATTAATATTTCATGTCTAAACAGTAAAGGATTTTATATATATACATATACAGTGTTTTACATTAAACGTATATAAGTAACTAAAAAGTTGTTATATCTAAGTATGAACTCGGGAAGTTTTCTCGACTCACAAGGTTAGTTCAGACTTTATTAAATAAAATTACAGAATGATGTCAGAGTTCCTCACAAAACAGTGAAAACCATCTTTTTGGTCACAGATACTAGACTGCTTTTCAAGTAAACATATAAACAGTCGATATTTAGGCGTAATGGTGATACATATCATTCGAAGGTTGAGAACGTTTTTGATTGGTCACCTAAATAATGTCGTGTATTGATGAAATTAATGTTATAAGCGAGGTTAATTTTATGTGTCGATAGTCGATTTAGGTACTGTTAATGGACTATCATTTGTATTGACTTACAAAGATCGAAATCGGTACTTAGATTTTACTGAGTCTGAATTCGTTTTTTATCATTTTCGACTAATAAGTTCTGCGTTACAGAAGAGGGATGTTTTGACATGGTATGTTGTGATATCAGTATTTCTGTTAATCATTCATAAATATGGTATTTGTCACGCATTTCTGAATAGCGCCCACTCTCGTCTTTTTTGTCATGTTTATGATAGTGAAGATCCAGGAATATTAACCACTCTAGTAATGTAAAAAACATCAATATCACATATTTATTTGGCTATGAGTTTAGTCACATGATGATATTTTAGCCTATGTAACATTTCATTTAGCTGGATCCAAGTTCACACCCTCAAAAAATCACACTGATTTTTCTTAGAACCGAACAACATTATTTTACTGTGCCACATAATAGATTTTTCTATCGTCACTCATCGTCATCTTGTTATTCGATAATCCTTAATTCATGGACATTTCATCTAAATGACTGTTCTATATAGAATATTGAATAGCAAATAACTATGATCTGGAACCAAATATCCTCACTAGTGAGGAATAAATATGAGGCTTTTTCAATCTCATGGGACGAGTGAGATATAAAATAGTATATTTTACCAACTTTAAGCTTTCACGATAATGAAAACGTCATACCTATTCTCAAAATGATTGCTCTAAAAACAGTGTATTTACTCTTTAGAAATGATGAATTGTTTCTGTCTTCGCCTAATATACTTTATCTTGTTATCGTTATGAATTGAAGTTTTGAAGGGACATTGAAAATCATGAATTACATGAATTAGCTCTTCAGTCTAAATTCATAAATTTTCAGGGTTGCATATCCTTAACTTATTCTGATGTAATCAATATAATTTGTTCGGAGCCTAGAATTAAATCGACCTTTAGTAATGTAATGATAATATTAGTTGTTCATTTGAATTTAGTTAGATGAACCAAGTTTAAGGTGATAAGTTGAAAGCTTAGGCCGATCGGTTAATATCATTTTAAATGAAAAAAACGAGTATTATAAATTGTCCAATGTAGACAATATAGATGAAAATCACCTTTATTAGGACCGTTAAACAATGTTAAATAAGTTAGTATATTTGCACTGAAATGCAATTTTATTACCACGGTAAGTGAAGGCCAACTGATAACATGAGTTCAGTTTTAACCTAAAAGAGTAACTATTGTTTATACAAACCATGATTCTGAACAAAAAGATGTTTAGTAAAAAATACTTGGATACCAATTTCTTTCAGTGTTTACTTTCTCGGGTTCAAATCGATAAAAAATGTTGATGGTGGAAGATATTGTCCATCAATTGCCTTTCTACTGTTTGCCTTTCTATCCTTGATTTTTGTGTCTTTTTTTAGGAGAAAAGCTTTTGGTTAGTACAATAGTTTTGTAAAGATTGTTGAATGTTGTGGCTTACATCACGAATTAATCCTAATTGAACGCCCACTGATAACAAAAAAATAGTCCACTGCTATTTATTTGTCGTATGAAACCTATCAATGACAGTGTGCATCCATGACCATATTATAGACTGAACTCAGGGCTTTCAGGTTTCTTGGACAGCCTTTAACCTTGAAACTATTGATTTGGCATCCACTGGTTCACAACTGCAACTTTAATTAATTCATGATGTTACTCAACCATCTCTCAGGATCATTGTTAGGTAACTGCCTTACACAAGATACGGTTGAACTCCACTGGTCACAATTCTCACTAGAACCCTTTGAATTACCTTTGAAAATTAGTAAATACTGGATTCGTGATCATCATTAATGTGTTTGTGTAAGTTATTGAGTTGTGAAGTTTACGTCACAAAATAACCAGGTAGTTTGCGGACGAAGACTATCACTGAGGTGCACCTATTAATATTGCCATAAAACAGTTGTCTAGTGCTTCCTCGTTCTCCATAGTTGTCTAAATAAAATCAGTCAGTTTTCGAGCTTTGCGAAGTCTTTTTCAAATTTTTCATTTCTATACCATTGCAAAACCCAGTTGATTGTTACGGGACCTATTCAACCTTGAGTTTCTACTTCTGTAATATTGTTTCATTGTTTGAAAAATTATTTTAGCGTAAATATGTAATTGAAGAAAGAAATTGTTAAAATTATGATAATATCAGGTATTCACTTGTTTTTCTTACCTTACAATAATCACATGAGGAAAACGTATTTAGTCCATTGATAGTAATTCATTTGCTAAGGAAAGTGGATGGCGAAAATTCATTTTGTATTGCTTGTTCGAATCTTCCCAGTGATGTTTAGGACTACGATTGCACAAACTAGTAGCTGTTTTAACTCAGTTCCTAAGTGGATAACGCAACGGCTTTGAAGCGAACAGTAGTGGGTTCGGGTCCTGCAATGAGAATCAACTTTGTGATGCAGGTACATCCAGGTGATGAGTTTCAAGCACGATGAAACGCGCGTCCTGGACTTCACTTCTAGCCACCGTCTATCCCTGCTCATAATGTATGAGAAAGAGTTATTTTAGGCAATATCAATTACTTCGATGTTTGGTAATCAAATTACATTGGATAATAATCATGAAACGGTTTGTAATTGTGGCTAACTGCACACGGTTTTAACATTTTACGTTCTTGATTAAGTAATGTAAAATAGCCACTGGGTTAAGCTGTAATTTTATGATTGTCTCATCTCTACAGAGAAGATATAAGGAAATTGATTTATTTGTGCTGGTAGATTTAAATACGAAATATTCACTGATCAATTCGAACAATAGAATCAACTTGAAACAGGAGTCAATTTATAAACGTTTCTTCAATGGTAAGTGATTTTGAAATAAGATTCGGTTTTCTCCCTTACGCCGATAGTACACTAATTTGCCCTAGACGAATATCTACACTAGATACCCTCCCAGTGTCTATTCTACAGGACACCAACACGATTCGGATCAAGAACACCAGAGTGTATTTCCACGCCAATAAGCGACAACAATAACTATAATAATAGGGGTAAGTGAGTATATAACCGATCTAATACCTGTCAGACTATCTACTAGTCTGACTACGTAGACAAACCATTTTCCTCTCTCACACATCAGATTTGTCGTCTTCAAAGGAACTGACTTCTAAATTAATGGATTTAACTAGTATGTTGGAGGTTTGGACCTTGGTCCGCTTACTTTGTTTACGGCACACGGGAGTAACATCACTAGCTTTCACGTCCTAAACATGGTTCAGAGTCAAGTATATAAACTTGTATTTCGATAAACGAGTTAAGTCACTGTGCTTGCAAGTTTCGTTATCATTTTGTGTTTATAAATTTCTGCGAAATATCTTATCCATTAAGTAGCTCACTATTCAACTTAGTGATGGTTAGGTTTCAGGTCTATAACTGATAAGAACCGATAAGTTTGAGTGTTAGGTCTTTAAATATTTTCTATCACCCTTAAAAATGTTTCTTGACCATACATTATTTTTTTTCCGGCAGAATTCATGTCAGTAATGTCTACATGGATTTGTGAAAATGACTTGTGTTATAAATTGTAGTCCTCAGTCTCTACGTTAAAGTTTCTACGTCTAGTCAACATATGGACGGTCTTATCGATTTTCTTGTAGTCTGTTTGTATGAAGTTGACAATTTTAATGATCATATATTATACACAAAATGAATATATATCGATAAGTTTTATTAGAATTACACCTTGGCTTCTTGTGTGTTGTAACGACTATTTGTCATGTTTGCGTTGTTCAAACATTGAACCTTTGACAAAATGGGCTGTAATTGAATCTGCTTTCTTGAAAAAGACTCAAGACATAGACTTAGAAAACATAAAGTTATGATTTTCTTTAATGTTACAGTTTTCTGCCTTCGTCCAGTACATGACTTGGTGTTATTTCAAAATTAATTTTAAGCTATCCAACTTACAGAACACTAACAGTGAAATTCATTGCATTTTTAATGTCAGATATTCAGAAGAGATTGATGGAAAGCTGTTCATCTAAAATATTACCCAAATAGCTCATCAGTATAATCTATTTCTGTGAAACTGGGTAAATATGCTTGAATCTTAATGAGAGAATCTATTCTCTCAAGATTGATCATACACTTTGCTGATAAGTACCAAGTAACATGAAACTTAAGCTTAGAGCTACCTCTGGTTACCATTTAACTGTTCGACATCAAACGAAGAGCATTGTTGTTTCAAGTTATTTAGATTCGCTACTATGATTCGGTTGGTCTGAATTTCTTCAACCCTAAGGACTGGACAACGCAAAAAGTATAGTGGAATTATCATTATTTTCAACATCCAATAGAGTAACTTTTTAACTAAAATAAAAAATCATTCTATTATCTTGTTCATAGTTATTAACCACTTATAAACTGTAATAACGTAATATATTTATTGGTGTTTGTAACATGTACTTTAGTAGGTGGTCCATTGATCATTATTTTTCTAATAATGGAATGATCATTGGATTTGATTTATGGAATATTGAATTGATTGAATCGACTGAATGTTTCAGTCATACATAGTCCCTTTTTGATATCAGGTCGTGTGGAATGAAAGCTCTCTAAGGGACAACACATAAATGTTTGAATTCATGTGCATGGTTTTAAAGAGACGGAATAAAGTTAAGTTTTACTGAAAATATCTATTAGAAATACATATGATTCCATGATTATATCTGATTGATAATTATTCATAATTTGAATGTAATAAACCGTATTTTGATTATGTGATTAGTTCTGTCTAGTTGTAGAGAAACATCCACCAAATGGTGGTTTATTTAGAATTGATCAGGGCAAAGATTTTTTCGTTGCATACATGTACGTGTTAGTTCTTCTTCAAAATAAGCTTTATAATACTTTTACCTATGTTTATTAGAATTCCTAGTTATGGCTAATTTGAATAAGTGGTGTCAGTTTTTCAGTTGTTATCGTCAATTTCAAACTATGTGCATTCAATGAAAACACTATTTAGGTAAGACGGATATTTTAGATTGTTTTTCAATGTTATAAAGATTGTTGGTTGGTTTTAGTGAATAAGTTCTCACAAAAATAACACTAGATTCTGTACATAATTCAGAAACTATCCAAGTCCGTTTTGTACATAACATTGCAAAATAAAGTGTAGTTCGAATAAAATTTTAAATGTCAATCTGTGATTCAATGATAGTCTAGGCGTCTGAATGTCAGTTACAGGTGTGCATTTTCAATCCTGCAATGTTAGACATAATTCGTAATGTAGTGGACACATAT